TCCATAGACTAAGTTTAACTGTTACAAACATGTTCTAGATCAGAGTTTCTAAATTATCATGTTTTTTGGTATATATTTTTATCTTTGGATCTATCTTCTCCATATGAGGGAAACACATGCATTTTTGTGTTTCTGGTTCTGGCTAACTTCACTTAGCATGATGTTCTCCAATTGCATCCATTTACCTCCAAACCCCATGGCATTATAAATCCCTTGTGGCTGAGTAATACTCCATTTTGTATATATACCACAATTTCATGATCCATTCATCAGTTTTAGGATATCTGGGTTGTTTCCCAAACTTGGTTATTGTGAATGGTGCTGCGATGAACATTGGTGTACAGGTGTCTCTACTGTATCCCATGTTACATTCTTTTGGGTAGATGCCCAGGAGTGGTGTCACTGGATTGTATGTTCTATCTCTAGGTTTTTGAAAATCTCCATACTGCTTTCCATAGTGATTGTAATAATTTGCATTCCCACCAGCAGTACATAGGGTTCCTGTTTCACCACATCCTCACCAGCATTTGTTGTTGTTATTTCCCTTGATTATGGCCATTTTAAATGTCACATCTTATTATTTTGAAGCAGTTTAAATATGTATGGAAGTAGGTTCATAGTCCTGAAAAACTAAGGAAGTAAATTATGCCAGTCAGTAAGCAATTATCTGTCCACTCTACATCCAGCCTTCTTTACTCCATTTTGTGATGTTCTCACTAAAAGTCTGTAATTTTCATTTCTTCTCTGCTATGAAATTGTTTTTTAGGTTTTGCCAGTAGAAAGCATGAGAGAGACAGGGGAAAGCAGGACAAAAGGGAAGGGATGTGAATTCCTTTCTTGGCTTGCTTTGCTTCTCAATGTTACTTTCACCACTTAGAGACAAAAGTTGGTTTTATTTTCCACTCGTTTGTTTTTTATTTTGGTAGTACTGAAATTTGATCTCTGGGCCTCATGCTTGCTAGGCAGGCACTCTAACACTTGAACCATTTCCCCAGCCCCCATTCTCCAGTCCTTTGCACTCCCAGAACCACCCTAATTTTTTCTTCACATGGTTATCAGTTTCAGCCAAAGAGCATGTCATCAGGAGTCTGATCCTAAATGTGTAAGAATTTTTCTTCAAGCTTCTGACATCCTAGCAGCTGTAGGCAAACCTCAGAGGGCTGAGACTCAGCTCTGAGGAGCCCCTGGTCTAACAATTCAAGCTACCTAGATCAGCCAGGGGCACCCTATCCTGAAGGTCTAATTCCAAGTTCTGGGGCTTCCTTCTACGGAAGGCTGAGCTATTCTCCCCACCTTGGTGGAGTCCTTTCCTCTGATGACCAAATTCTGTTCGATAATGCTTTGTGTCCAACCTTCTATGTCTTGTTTCCTTTATCCTCTCCCTTCTGGTTTCTTCTTCCTGTGGTTAATATTGATATGTGCCTCATTTAACAGTTTCTTCCATCTTAAATTCCCTCTATAGAAATACCTAGTTTTGTTTCCATTTTACAATTATAATTTGTTTCTAATAGCTGTAAGAACACAAGTAGGCCATGTCCCCATCCAGAGGCTCGGTTTTGCAACCAGTTAATTGGGGGTACAGAGGAAATACTATGAATAGTATCTAAAGTGATGTCTCCCAAATTGTTTTCTGGGGAATTTTACTGCTAGGGTTTTCTTTTCAAAATTATGCTTACGGTCATATGTCTATAGAAACTGTTATTGTCCTACAGCAAACTATTAGAGACTCAGAGTGCACAAGCATGATACAGGCAAAAGTCTAGCAGAGAAGAAACCTGTTTTACTTTTAACTCACCATCTATTTCCAAATTACTTGACTAGGGAATCTATTTTCTTTTTAGTTAGCGTCTGTTACCATCTCATAGTGTACATTGTGAAATAGCCTTCTCTAGAATCCTGAGAAATTGAAGTTTTACCATCTCAGGAAGGTCTTCATCTTCAATATCTTTTTATTGGGGATGATTCTAAAGTCTGAAATTATTTTAAGAGGTTTTGTTTATCTGATTCTCAGCATTCATGTTTAAATAAGTACTGAGAGAAAGTATGCCCCTTGCTGTGAGGTGTAGGAGGAATGCTGAGAAAGTACATATAGGATGTCAGAATTCCAGGAAAATTATTGAAAGAAATAAAATGCAAGATGATAGAACACTGAGGGTCAGGGGAAATAGAGGGTCACATTGTATGAGATGAAGACAGATATGATTAAATTTAAGAAGATGAGTTATGGGTTCGCACTGCCTAGTTACTATTTTTGGTTATAGCATCTGAGTGTTATTTGAAATTAATTTTTTTTCACCTTCTCTGTGTCTTGGTTTCCTCATCCTGAAATAGAGAAAATAATAATATGGATTTTACAAGATTATAAGTAGATTAAACATGGCATATCCTGTAAGACAATGGACACCTTCCTGACATTTAGATATTTAATATATTTCATAAAAAAGAAGCAGGCCCTGTTTAATTACACCAACTTTATTTAGATAGAAAGAATAGACAAAAAACAGCACTATTCAAAATGGAAGGGTCTTTGAAGGGATTTAATTGTGCTCCCTTGTTCTATAAATGAAAATAGAGCCGAATCTTGCAGAAACAAGATATTTCATTAAGAAGCTGAATGGCAGAGAAGTTGGATGGAGATCCCAGTCTCTCTGCCCTTAGCAGAGGGTTATATGAATTAAATTTGAGGTAGCTCATCAGTTTGCACTTTTGTGTTTTCCTGGGTAGTGACAAGAATAGTGGTACCGGGTATTTCTTTTGGAATTCTGATTTCACGGTAATCTCTACAAGGTTTAAGACCCATGGGTAGCAGGCTTTCTCCTACTCCCCATCTCTGTTTCCCTATCACAATTCTGTGGGAGAGAACCACAGTTACAGTAAGCATCAAAGACACTTGGAATAGTAGAAAGGAAAAAAAGTTGCATTCAGTGTTTTTCTGTTTTAATTTTTTATTAGCATATGTTAATTTTGCAAGGGGTTTCATTGCAATATTTAGAGACATGCATACAATATACTTTAATCGAATTCACCCCATCTATACAGCACTTTCCTGCCTTCCCCAATTTGAACAGTTTTTAGTGGGTTTCATTATGCTTTTCTCATACATATATATAATGTACTTTGACCATATTCACCTCCATTACCCTCTCTCTTCCCTCTACCCCTTTTGTTGGTTCCCCCAACACAATCTATTTTTTAAGTCATTTCTCCTCCTCCTCTTTGTCTTCATATTTTTCCTCCTCCTCCTCCTATTATAGTTATTATTTTCTATTTTTAGTTCTAAAGTCTGCTTGTGAGGAAAAACATGTAATATTTTTCTTATTGAGTTTGGCTTATCTCACTCAGCTTGATGATCTCCAGTTCTATCCATTTTCCTGCAAATGACATGATTTCATTTTTCTTCATGGATAAATAATACTCCATAATATACATATACCACATTCTCCTTATTCATTCATCGTTTCTTGAGCACTTAGACTAATTTCATGACTTGTCTGTTGTGAATAGTGCTGCAGGGATCTTTATTGCATGTTGACTTCCAACTTTTAGTGTTATTTGGGAGAAGGAAGAGGAAGCATTGACTATTTCAATAGAACAGAAGTCTTTTTAGAGCCAAGTAACTAACTGAGCTTGGGTTTTTCATACCTTCTGCTTCTCAGACTCACCAGTGGCACTAACAATGGGGAAGAGGCAGTGAGCTCGTCTTTCAGCACCTAAGATTACTCTTCTCCCTAGCTTTGTGAAGTTTATCTAGTGTCATACTGATAGGTGAAATATATGAGAGAGAATCATAGTCACATAATATGCAAATCCTTATTAAACCCACCAAATTTTTCTAGAACTTCATAGAATCATGGCAAGCATGTCATTTTAAAGGAGAATTCAATGGGATAAAGCAATACTGTATTGCTATATAACTAAACCTATGCATCTACATACATAATTTATGATCTATATATAATCTATATGTATACAACGCCACACTTCATTGAGGTAAAAGACCACAGGAGGTTAAGAACAAATGTCTAAATTCAATATAAACTCTATAATGCCACTGAGAGCCATTTTACTAGCATAAAGGCCCCCAACATGCTGGTATTAAACTACTGATAGATATTTAGGCTGCATTTATATTTTGCTTTCCTGGAAAGTAAGCCAAAACAAACAAATTTAAGGCAACCTTAAGAAGTGTCAATATTTCTTATTTTATCTGACTCGTGTTAAATGTTATTCATAGTGACAATTAAAAATATTTAACAATAAAGAACAAAGGCTGGCAAATTGATCTTGAATCTATCTTACCCTCTTATAAGATTTTTCTCTTCTGTACAGAAAAGTCATTTTTTTTAGCAACCTTCCTCTTTCAATTTTGAGGGATAACATTATTGCTTTTTGATAAATACATGCTTACTCAAAGCTACAAGTAACAGATTTTCGATTTTGATTTCATATCTGAGAAGCATCTGCACAAGTCTCAATAATATGTTTTTAAATACAGAAGATGTAAACTTACAGAATATAGGTTGTCCTGGCTGCAAGCTATTGAACACTGCTACTCACTTCCATTGTGTCTTTGGAAAGATAAACGACCCAGTATACAAGATTGAATCCTGCAAATGCTACTGGAAAGAGAATCCGAGAGTACTGGTCTATTTTACTGGGACCTCCAAAGGCTGGTGAGAGTGGCGGGGGTGTGGTGGGTGTTGATTGTAAGATGGGTGCTCTAGTAAGGACTTTACTGGTCTCAGGGGATGGAACTATCGGCAAAGTCAGAGAGGTGATTCTTTTCTTCAGATGGTACTTGGAATCAGAATGCTATGGAAAGAAATGACATAACATTTAGCACAGGAAAAAGAATAGAGATCACTTATTTAGTCATTATTTTCATTACAGAAAATATTTTTTAAGATAGCAAATTTTATTTTATTTTTCATAGTCATTAATTTTTTGAAATTATGCTTTATTGTTTTTACATTTACTTATCTGTGTATACATTATTTGGGCCACCTCTTCCCCTCCCTCTCCCCCTCCCCTATCTCTAGGCAGAACCTGTTCTGCCCTCTTGTTCTCCCGTTTTGTTGAAAAAAATATAAAAGATAATAAGAAAAACATGGTGTTTTTGCTAGTTTGAGATAAAGATAGATATACAGGGAGATTCTTTGTGTTTCCATGTGTATATATATTATAACCTAAATTGGTTCATCTCTATCAGACCTCTTCACTATTCCCTAGTCTCCTTTCCATAGTTGCCTCTGCCAGTTAAGGATTACTTTATTCACTCCTCTACAGTGTGGACATCAAACACATTCAAGTTTTTCATTTCCTTCCCTTTCTCTATCCCTCCCATGCGTGGTCTCCTCTTAGTGTGTGACCCATGCCCAATAATATCACTGCATTTGCTTTAGGTCTATAATCTGTACATGAGGGAGAACGTGCAATTTTTGGCCTTCTGAGCCTAACTTTGCTTAAGATGATGTTCTCCAGTTCCATCCATTTACTTATGAATGACAAAATTTTATTCTTTGTGGCTGAATAAAATTCCATTGTGTATAAATATCACATTTTCATAATCCATTCATTGGTAGTGGGGCATCTCAGCTGTTTACATAACTTGGCTATTGTGAATAGTGCTGCAATTAACATGGGTGTGCAGGTGCCTTTGTAGTAACCTGAGTCACATTCCTTTGGGTATATCCCTAGGAGTAGGATTGCTGGATCATATGGCAGATCTATGTTTAGTTTTTAAGAAGTCTTCATATTGACAAATACTTATTGATTAGTTATTATCTGAGATAAAACATCAACCAATTCTTAAGAGCATTTTCTGTTATTAGGTTTCTAAAAAAGAGTTAAAACACTTTAATCCAGAAATACTCTTTTTTTTTTTGTAGTACTGGGAATTGAAGCCGGGGTCTCATGCATGATAAACATGCACTCTGCCACTGAGCTACACCCAGCCCCAAAAGAGTTCATTCAAGCCAAGTAAGAATGGCTACATTGGGAGTTTTGTTTATTTGTTTGCTTGTTTTTGTTTCTGTTTTTTTGTTTCTTTTTTGGAGGAAGGGAAGCTGGAGATGAAACTCAGGGCCTCCTATGTGCTAGGCAAGCATTCTACCACTGAGCCACACCCCAAGCCTGATGCCAAGTATTTTCCTTGTCAAAGAAGCTAAATCAAGCATTGTACAATAAGGAAAAAGTGAGCCAGGTTGCAAAGTTAAGTGTAAGGCTCTATGGCAGTGAATGTGGCAATGGTTGTGGATGGATAGGAGATTCCAATTTAAATTATATGCACAATTACTTAATACCAGAAAAATCACAGTTTAGTTCAATGACATTATTCTTCTAGAAAAATTGCCAGCCTAATTCCTCATATTTATGCACTTGTGAATTTGAACCACTTGAAATGTAAGGGGAAAAATGGACCAATGGATATCCAAGGCCAGTGGCCAAGTCACGTCTGTATTTGAAATATATCTGACTCTTAGCTTAGAAGTTCTTTTCAATGATCCTTCCATACTTTCCATTCAGAACTTCTCCACTAGTCTCCCAACCTTTTTCATCATCCATACAGTTTATCTACTAACCTAGAATTATTGCATACTCTATTCTGTAATTAGATTTTCTTGAAATCATAAGACAATCAGCTTTCATCAATATTTCACACATTATTTGACAGGTTGTAAGGCGGAGGTTCAGAAAGAGGAAATGCCTTGCTTATGGTCACATGGCTGACAATAAAACCCTCTATTTGATTTTAATGTTTGTTTCATCCCAATATTTTCCCATCTCTACAGTAAAGTACTGAGCCTAGTTCAGAGACTCTGAGTGTATCTGATTTAGATTCCTTTCTTGCTATTGGGAGTCTAGGGGGGGCTGTCCTCTGATTCTTGCCTGCAGCCTACAACGATCATTCTTGTTGGGGTTGGGTTGTCTTGCTGAGTCTCTATCTTCAAACACTAGCTGTACATTACCCCTGATCTTGTAAAATAACCTTGTGTCCTCCCTGGCAACAAAATTACTACTTTGCTGCCTGGCAGGGCATATTCCTCACATGGACAGACTCCCATGGCTTAAGCCAGCAACCCTGCAGCAACAGGATGAGAAAGTCACCTCCCCTGTGCTGACTGAACCACAGGATCACAAGGACCTGCCGATGTGGTGACATTTGGGCTGTAGGAACAGCAACCCAATGAATCTCTTTTTCCTATTTTCCTTCCTGGATTTTACTGTCTGATTTGCCATACACATTTCTGAGTATCTAAATAATAGTGCTCATTATAAAGAATCGAAGCCCATGTGCTTTTAAATACCACAGCAAACTCTGTTTCTTCACCCAAAACAAAATGAATCTGTGTATTTAAGACTGATTGATATATCATTGTGATTTTCAAGCAAGGACAGTCTCATCTATTGGCCAGATTCTATGGCAGTCACCTCGGAAAGAATTAAATAGAGCATAGGTCTTGGAGGGAAAAAAGAGTTTAAAATAGTAGAGGGCCAAGTATGCTGATCTTGAACAGGAAAAAAGGAAAGTGAGATTATCTATTCAAAATATGAGATATCTGAGAGTGGATGATACTGAAATGAATTGCATCTGTGTAAGAAGAAGGCATAACAAAAAGAACTGAATGTAGTTTAGTAATAAAAAAGGAGGGACTAAGCGGGGGGAAGGTAAGGAAAAGTAATGGAGTTACATTAATGTTCAGTGCATTTACAGGTGAAATACCATGGCAAAACCCCTTTGAATAATGAATATGCACTTAAATAATGAAGGACAGAAATGTAAAACAGGTCCTGTTGGGAGGCGGATGCTAGTGGGAAGGAGAGGATGAATGGAGAGGCTAAAAGGAGGGTAATATGGCTGATGTACTTATAGGCTTGTATAGAAATAGAACAATGAAACCTGTGGAAATCAATTTAAGTAAGGGGGGATTTGAGGGAGAATAATGATGAGGGTACATTGCAAGCATATATGGAAATGAAACCCCTGTACAACTAACATTTGCTAACAAAATCACTTTTTAGAAACATGTAAAAGAATAAGATAAAATATGAGATATCTGAGGTCACCAGACTATATCTGGTTGGGACCAGAGTAATATATGTTAGTCTTAATGCATGTTGCCTCTTCTGGAGTAAAAACTTTGTACTGGTTTCCAAACTGTTTCTGTTATGTTTCTGTGACTCTAATTACATTTTTCTTCATTTTAAAGAATATTATTAGAATATTCTCTATATGACAGAGTAAAATGTGTCACTATATCATCCTCCAAAAAAAAAGTTATCCTCCTCCCACACATATTGAACACCGAAATACTTACCCCTAGCAAAATTTCTAAAGATCATGAGGAAGTAGAAAGAGGGCAAACCTTCAGAGGAGTCTTTATTTCCAGGCTCATCTTGATCTTTTATTAAGGGGCACATTACCTATGTGGAACCCATCATTCTATTTTAAGCAGAAGGAGGGAAGACATGACAAGTTCATTGGGTAAAACCCATAAGCACATTAGGCATTATTTTTTTCTTTCCCTCTTCTGTAGCTATTCTGGAATCCCCTGGCATTGTCACATTGTCATAAAAGACTTAATGAGGATTGTCAAATAACTCTGGTCCAGAGATAAGAGGTATTCAGAACCAATCACCATGAAAAATTTAAGTAAAATGGCATTGACCCCTGCAGTAGGATTATACCTGTCCTTGTTTACTGCTATGGTGTTTTGCCTAAGAGCTGAGAGAATGAGGCAGTCAGAAGTCTCCAGATTTATGATTCCATATCTACTACTAAGTTTTGATTCAACATAAACATGCTATAGGTATCAGAGATGGTGATTCCCTTTAGTTTCAAGCTCTGATCTTTAAAGCTAGGGAAAATTACTGTTTTCCTCATTAGCATTTTCCTGTTTCTTCAAGAATTTGGGCAAATGTACTATGTATACCTGCACACATATTTGCTGAGAAAAAAAAAAACCTTAGTTGTAACTACTTTTTCAAGTATCTACTTCTGTTTCTCATTCTTATCACTCACTTTCTTACTGCTTTGCCTAGAATAACATTCCCTGCCACCCATCATTGCCTTCATAGCTATTGATGCCAAACTCATCATTGATGGTGCTAGACATTACACTTTTCTGCCTACTTAGCTAGGATGACTCCTGTAGCTAGTATATTTTCCCTTGTAAGTATAGCTATCTCCTTTCCTAGCATGAAATATCCTTAATGGTATATGAGACCCTTCTCCTGCAGCAGTATTGCACAAGGCATAGAACACAGAATATTCTCCAAAATTACAGCCTTAATCAAAACATGATTGAAAATCTAAGCATTTTTCAAGGATTTGTGGGAGAAGGCAGGAAAAGAGGGGAGAACAAAAAGATTTATGAAAATGTCGCATTTTATTTTAATAGTGCTAGATATTACATTATATGATGTGTATCATTTTTAAGTGCTTCATGTTGACAAGCACTGTGAGGCAACGTGTGTGCATAATTTTATTCTTTGTGAAAACATCTTTAATGTCATATATTCACTTTAGAAGTGAATGAATGGCAGTGGAAGCAGGAAACTCACATAAACAAAAAGTGGGAAGGAAGGACCGGATTCAAATCAGATGCCAAAGATTACACTCTTAGCAGTTCTTACGCTGTTCACTCCACAAGCTTTAGGCAAAGTTTCTCAAACTCAGAAGTACTGACATTTTAGGTTGGGTAACATTTATTTATTTTTTTTATTGTGGTAGGATTCCTGTGCATTATGGGATGTTGAGGAGCATTCCTGACCTCTTCCCACAAGATACCAGTAACTGCAGCCCAAATTAT